TGTCGTTCTGAAATTTAATAAAGGAAAGAGATAGGAAAAGACGAAAAATTGTTTTTTTCAAAAAGTCTACGCTACCGACGGCTATTTTTGGAATGAATTCTTCAAGAGTAACGGTAAGCGATCACTTTTATTGATTTCTTTTTATTAAAAGTGTTAATATAACATTTTATTTAGCAAAAGTTTGTTTTTTTCCCTATCTACTTCTTAATAACAAAACAGCGAATGATATAAATTCCTCAAAACATGACTCTCGCATAAAAAAACATGAATACTTCTATAATATGTATAGTTTTATTTCTCTGCTTTATCAAAATTTAATAAAATAGTGAATTAATACAATTTTAAAGTTTATTTAATCGGTGTGACATAATTTGACGGAAGATTCACATCTGTATCTACCTCATCTGTGCCTGAAACCAAATTTTTACTATAATACGTCACAAACTGTTTATTTTTTCAACCAATTGAATCACATAATTTTTTTAAAAATATGACGAATGAAATAACCTTTGGCATCCCGCATAGTCACATCAAAATTTTGATCAGACCATGAAACGTTTGTACAAACTTTTCATCTTTCTTGCAGTTTTGAAAACAAAATTTATATGCGGGTATGTAGAAAAAATATCAGAGTTCAATACGGTATAATTTTTTATCATGTTTTATTTACGTATACGAAGTATTTTGCGTTCTGCCGAAGTGGTATATTCGTCAGTTGAGATATAGTTGCCAACGTTAGGTATAATCTATATATATCAACACTGCTTTTCAAATTGAGTGCTTGCGGCGCGCGACAAATGACAAAGGAATGGGGTGAGCTTAATGCAAATTGACATTTGGAAGCATTATTGGTGCATTCTACACGCCGTTTTGGGCTGCCTATGCTCGATTTTGCTGAATGAAAACTCGTTCTGCGCCCGCGTACAATCTTTTACTAGTCAGCGACGCTTTTCAATAAGGAGAATTTCTCGAGTTACACGAGGCTATTTTCTAACTTTATTTGCATTTTACTCATTAGTTTCAACGGTGACCTATCTTCAAATTTTGACCACGAATTTATTTTGCGGTAAATTTTATCAATTTCAAATTTTAAAAAAATCTGTAGTGTGGAAATTTCGCAATAAATTTTTCGCTTTTAAAAAAATCACACACTACAGAATTTTTTTAAACTTTCACCACAGTTGCAGAGCATCATTCCTTATTGATATATGAAATAAAAAAGATAGGTCACCGACATCGTTTTTGAGATAGCGGCACATTTAAGGGTTAAATTGGAAGGCTTTATGCTGTCGTCATGTTGCCATGGGAACATTGATATCGTCGAAATCTAGTTCCAAATATTCCTTTGGTGACCAATATTGCCACCAAGTCGAAAAGAATTCGCGTTCTGCACGAATAAGCCTGTTTTACGGAATTATTGCTTAAACAAGAATAACTGTAGGGAGCCACCTTAAGTGGTTCCAAATATTTGAAAAACAGAGAAAAATATTAAAGTTAAATGTCATTGAAAATTGAAAATTCGCGTCGCGTTGCCAAATCGCGTCCGCTTTGTATGGGCCTTAATGACTGATCCCTTTATTGCATGTGAGCACGCGTAAAATAGGGTTGGGCTCAGTCGTTGGAGATATTCTCTAATTTGAATATGTGAAAATGCTCTTTTCAACATGAACTTTCGTGTTAAACACCCTAAATATAGGCACGTGAAAGTTAAACTGCTATGACTACGTGAGCAAAGTACAAATACCCCCATTATCGCTATGTTCTAGCGCTCTGCTGGGGAGTAGATAACAAAGAAGCAACCTGCCAGCTGTCTAAGCCAAACCGTCCCATCCTTTTTTCAGCTGAATGAGCTTTAAACTTAACTAGAAATACATGCATGCAGCAACCCCGCCCCTATATATTTCAAATATTGATTTATGAAGTATTAGAAATTGGCCAGCACTGAACGCAGGCTCGCGTTGCGCGTGAACTCAAGCACAGATTAAGAATATTTATTTAATTTAGTTTATTGTACGATCATCCAGATTAAATTTCTTTAATTATTTCTGACGTTTCGGCTACCTACACGGCGGCCATTATCAAAGACATATTACAGTTACTGTAACTGTAATATGTCTTTGATAATGGCCGCCGTGTAGGTAGCCGAAACGTCAGAAATAATTAAAGAAATTTAATCTGGATGATCGTACAATAAACTAAATTAATGGAAAAACCCGGATTCAAGCCCTTCAGTGAATATTTATTTATTTATTTAACTTTGCCAATAAACATTAAAACACAGAAAATACATATATGGACAATGGCAGGGAACACGCTACAGCTTACGCCAATTACAGCTGCCCTTTACATATAAGATACGACATCACAAACACATTAAACTATTAACAACATGATACTTCACAGGACAGATTACGGGACTTGTTACAGGACAAACATATTGATTTCAATTTATAAAATAACATGTATATAACGCGTGTTCTGATTGGTCAAAAGCCGTGTTTGGATCAGGCCATCCAAACACGGAAGACTATCGTGTTGTTGCTATTTTATAAAACAATTACTTTATGGTTTCCGTGTTTGGATGGCCTGATCCAAACACTTGGGAATGTTGCTCGAGTTAAGAAAAGCGGGCAAAATCACTCGCCTTCGGCTCGTGATTTCGCTCGCTTTTCTTAACTCTCGCAACATTCCCGCGTGTTTGGATCAAGCCATCCAAACACGGAAACCATAAAGTAATTGTATAATACCAGATGAGATGTGTAACTTCATAGGACTTCGTGTCCTCAAATTTTCCTAGATCTACACGTCATGCTCACGTCATGACACCTGCTAGCAAAATGGTGTCTTGAAAAACACAGACTTTTGCATTTTATTGCGGCTTTCGTGGATCGAAATTGAATGTTTAAAGTTATTTGAAAGCAATTAAGAGACCGGTCATTAATAATGGTAGGGGGGAGGGGGTGAGAAAAGGGGGGCGGCTTCAACTATTTTTCTCTGAATTGGGGGCGGTCCTAAACTGAAAATTATGTGACAATGGGCGACCCCAATTTGTTAATACTTCCCTACTCATTTTCAATTTCTCACCTTTATCGTATCTCACAAAATATTTCACCTTCTTTAGTTCCTATAATCGTAGTTTTCATAGTTTATTACGTATATGCAGTTCACCATAGGAGTCGGAGTAAATAACAACCATTTTGAATACTGGTCCTCTAATTATTTTGGCTACACAATGTCTTACACCAGTACGTTTCTCATTACCTATTTTACACCAAAAAATGTAACGGATTGAATGTTGGGGGGGAGGGGTGTCCTAAATTTTCTAGATGAAGGTGGCGGCGTCTTGAAAATAAAGGTCTTACAATAGGGGCGGCTCTAAAAATATATGTTCAATATTTGGTATTTATCACCCATCGCCCCCTCCCCCCCCCCCCATTATTAATGACCGGTCCCTAAAGTTGTAGAAAAGGTGTTGAAAGCATTTTTGAAAGCAATGACGTATTACCAAATGACGAATTATTATAGTCCCACATCCCTTACAGAATTTTTTTTCTGGTCTTCATTCGACTTGATGTAGAATAATTTTGGGAATAATAGAGAAAATTTTAAGAATAATAGGAATCAAAGAATAAAATAATGGACAAATTTTTTGGCATAATGTGCGTGTCCCTAATTGTTTTACGCAAAAAATTAAAGCAACAAAATTCATAAGTATTGTTATTAAACATTCAAAGTAAACTTGCCTATATTTCACGATTTCCCCGTAGTAAATAAATTCTTATTTCTTCAGAGCAATATTGGTTGAAAGCTAATTGTATGAAACAATTTTCCAAATACATGTTGAAAAATTGAAATCTTGCTTGCTGGCTGGCAAACAGCCATATTTTTTAGATCAGTGAGGAGGCCCACCCTTGGATGATAGCCACGTGCCCGCGATTATTGATGAACTTCAGACTTTGCTAATACTTTCCTTTTCCCAGGTGTAAATAGCCAAGCGGAATTAGTGCTCTCGCCCGGAACGGCGCTCTGCATCGTTGGCTCGGGGATTATTATAGAGGTCAAGATTTGAGTTCCACTGCCGATACTATACTACCCCTAACTGGCTTAGTACGCATCTGATTGGTTAATCGAATTAAAAAGTTAAAAAACTAAACTAAAATTCGTGTTAATCTCCACAATTGTTTACAATAAGAGAAAAACAAACCTCATTCTGTGGCATCCATGCCTCTACGTCTTCTCTTTTGTTGCTTATCAATTTTGCACACGTTGGAATCCAAACTTCTTTCAAATGCTGAACAGCTTTGCTGCTGCTTTCAGAAACTAAACGAGCAAACTCAGCAATCGTTAACGGCATGTTAATGACCAACTGCTCAACATTAATCAGTCTAAACTCGGAGTATCTAAAAGTGAAAGTAATGTGTTAAAAATCTCCATGTGTTTCAACTACAAAATAAAATAAAAATAACTTAAATGAATCAGTTGTACTGAATGAATCATCTGTTGTTACACTAAATGAATCATGACAAATCTGTCTAATCCTATACGAATTGCCTGAGAGAAATCGTTTACGACAACTTACAGTTACGTAAGTTATATATATAATATAATAATAATATATTTATTCAATGCAGATCAGTAGAAGGTAGGAAGAAGGTCAGTTTGATAGATATGTATACTATAGTACTTATCTACCCACATACCTACAGGTATACCTACAGTACATTCCTACAGATTTCTTACCCAGTCTCCCATAAGTGAAGTATTTCTCGTAGTACAACGTGTGTGACGTAAAGATTTTGTTCCATGTGAAGTCTTGCGGCTGCCATGGAGTCGTGCCATGGAAAATACTCCCGACCAGCTGGTTGAATAACCTATTTTAAAAATGCATCAAAGAAACGAGATATAAGAACTACAGTGAAACTCTTTAGGGTCACCTCGTTTAAACGGGCGACTCAATTGTACTATCGTAGCGCCACTATGGCTTTCAAGTGCATGACGGCTGTGTCCCAACTTATAAAGTGCGTGACGGGCTGTGTCCCAACTTATATATGGGGAAAGATAATAAAGTATCAATCGATCGATTAATCGATCAATCAGCGAACCTGTTTTTTCATCGTCAAGCCAAGCCTTTCTTGTTCCTCTCTGTCCATTAGAACATAATCGAGAATACATCTTTTCAAGCTTCGTAAGTAATTATCCTCCATTTCCTACAAATTTATAACAGATTTTAATGGAATGCCCATATATATAGCTGTTTCATCGTGATCATATAAAACAGCAGCATATGCTAAAGACCATAATTATTTACCATAAGATGTTGGTCGTAAGATCATAATATATCGTAGCCACTGGGCTGTTGATATACATGTACAGGACAAACACTACAGAGATGTTTATAAATATGTTTGACGGAAATTCTAGATTGATTGGTATATGTAGGGAAACCAAACATAGTACTACAGTGAAGTGCCCTGAATGCAGTATGCGCAAAACAAGTACACCACAAGGTATTGGGTCGAAGGCTTATGTATACCAAGGCATACGATACCAAGATTTATACATTCAGAACAAACTAACATATACTAACAAACTCACGCCGTGATTAAAAAGCGATGCCTAACTTCGTTTGAGAACCGCAATTCCGTCCAAAAGGGAAATAGTTATGTGCAAAATTGTATTAGAAAATGATCGTTAATATATATCGTAGACTCACCTTGGTAATTCCTTCTAAGATATTTGGAAAACGATCCCTGAGCTCAAGAGGGATGAAACGATGCGTGTTTTGGATCCAAGCACTTGACAAAGGTGTTACAAAATTGGACTCGATTGCGTGTTTACTTAATGTCCAATATCGTTCCTGGCTATTAGTATTTTCAGGAGAAGCCGCACGAGGGAGCCCATATGTACTTTTAGACGGAGCAGAAAACTCCATTTGTAAAACTTCTAACGTAAGAGCATCGTGGAAAGTTTTGTTATCAGGAATCACTTGCTCGTGCTCCATTGGAGAAAGGACTGGAGAGTAAAACACATCATTAAAAAAATCATCTGGTGATTCCTGGCATGACATTTGATGGTAATCCCGAACGTTCAACGGTATATTCTCTGTCTTAGTGCCATTCAAATCTGGTAAGGGTCTTTTTCTGGAAAGCCCCGGTAATGTAGCTGACTTTGGATGGATGCGTCGAATTTCTTTGGGATGGATTGATCTGTCCAAGCCATTTTTAGAACCTTTTGCTGAAGATGATAGACGTTTTTTCTCTTCTCCTTCTTCAGAATTACCTTTTATTTTTGCATTGTTGTAGGCGGTATTCTTCAGGGAATTAACTGTCAAATATGGGAATGTGATATTTTCAATTCTGACAGTACAGACACGCCAAATTATTTAAGTTTGACATGGGAGCATATCGGCGATATCGGAGTTAAATTCAGATGACGTAACTAGCTACACAATATCATTAGTCCCATTGCAAGATAAGTGCATGGCTTGATTTAGAAATACTCTAAAATTTCCTTATTTAATCCTTTATTGCGAAAAACATTGAAGAAAGTGGCATATATAACAGATTTTTTTGTTTAAAGATATTTTCTCATTGATTGTTATTGCATTAACGCATTGAATGATGATATTGGGATATCGTCGCCGGACGTTTGCCCCACCAACATTTAGCCGACAAACATGTTAGACTAGCAGACGTAACTTCCCGACAGGACATTTGGCCGTATGTAATTGCTGTAAAATTCCTTAAGACTAGATGATACGACCAATACTCCTTAATAGTTTTAAGCACAGAAATTCGTTAAACTATTAAAAACTTGAAAATTCGGTGATATTTCTGTCCGCCAATTGCGCCAAATGTCTTTCAGTCAAACGCGCATATATGTCGGCCAAACGACCGCGCAACACTTTAACTCACTGATTGAATTCATTATAACAAAACCAAGTAGTCACAAATTGTAAATACAATTAAGGTTTTTAAAAAAAATCTTACCATGTTTTCTTGTCAATCGTTTAGTCTCAAAAATAAGAGATGTACTCAGATCGGAAGCTGAAGGTGTGTAATTATTGGCAATCGAGTCACTAAACAAAAGCAAATATTAAAACAAAAGCAAATAATATTACGCCATATAATTATTGACTGTTTTCGTAAAGTCGTCGTCAGTTTTACAAGCGCCTCCCTCACCTAAAACTAATCCTTAGCCCTTAGTTTTCAAGCATGCGTGTATCACGAGCAGGGGCGTAGGAAGCTTCTAAAAGTTGGGGGGAGCAGGCTTTGAAGGGCACTTTTCGAAAAAAAAGGCATCTAAAATTTTTTCCCGGAAATGTTGGCGACGGGGGGGGGGCGAAGGGGGGAAGGTCATCTCCCCTTTTCCGGAAATACCAAAAATTTCCGGAAATACCAAAAAAATTTTCCGGATATACCACATTTTTTCCTAAATACGAAAATATTTTTCCGGATATACCAAAAATTTTTCCGGATATATCATATTTTTCCCGGAAATGAAAAAATTTTTCCCGAAATAACATAGATTCAAGTTTTCAAAAGTGCCCTTTGGGCAAAAAATGCAATCTTAATGACAATTTTTCACGCAAGAAAAGGGCCCATTGCTCCCAGAATAAGGGCACTTGGCAAAACTTGGGGGCCTGGCCCCTCCCTGCCCCCCCCCCGGTTCCTACGCCCTACCCCCCGGTTCCTACGAGCCTCTGACTCGGGTATATTGGGAAACCACACCATGTGCAAGCAACATTAAACCATTATCACGGCTATATTTTACTGGAACACTGCAAGAAAGCCTATAGGAAGGTCTAAGTGAAACTGGTCAAAAAAACTAGGGACGGCAAACAAAGGCAAAATGAGCCTTAAGAAGGAAAAGAAAGTAAAAAGATAAGGATAAACAGTAAAAGAAGCCAAGGCTAGGGAAAACCGAGGAAGGTTAGAAAAGACTAGAATTATAAAACAAGTAATGGCTAAGAAGGCTATGGACATTTAATGCTAAGGGTGGCTAAGGATATACCTAAGACGACGACCTTTGGAGCTTACCCCATCCGCGACCCACACAAATCACCTCAAGGTTGAAAAAGTTAAAGAATGGCATGCAGAAAGACATACCTTACACGGCGATGGTATTTTTTTTCCTTGCTTGGAGAAGCTTTTGTATAGGCACCTGCCTCGACTATCCGTGGTTTATCACTGAATGCACGCTGTAAAATATGATAATTTTAAAGAATTAATAATGCGATTCAGTAATCCAGTATCATACATTACTTGCATTGAGAATATATGAGTGAATCGAAAACCTTAGTTAAATATCTTAACGTGAAGGAATTTATGTAAAGTGCAATTAAACTGGGGGGCGGGGGAAGAAAAAAGTAGAGCGATGGCTGGTAATACAATTCGATACAATCAGTTGTAATTTGATATTTTCGGTAATCGTTGCCGAAGGTTAAATCATTTTAAGGTGGCTCGATACAGTTTTTATAAAATGGAAAATTCAGGATTTGGATCAGTATTTTTGAACAATTGTTATCTGTTAAAATACAAAACGTATCTTACCGATGTAAAAGAACATCCACAGGGTTTGAAATTTTTCACAAAAGTTACGCAACTCCCGTTGCTGTGACAACATATTGGTGGATATTTCAGTTTTAAAGTAATTTAATTCGTAAACGACATCGGTGTCCCCCAAATTTTATTTCATAAAATGATTTCTGATAGTGTACTCTGCAATTATTTTGACAATTTTACAAAAACTTTGTTGAAAGATTCTGGGCGTCATTTTTGGGAAGGAAACAATAGATCTGCAAGAATTGAAATTCGTTTTTTCAAAGGGTATGGGAAAATGCCCTGAATAAAAGACTTTAAATTAAAATAGGACAATTATAAAGCAACTTTTTTCCAAGATCCAAGTTGTTTTGACTCCCTGGCCAGAAAATTGAAAAACTGCATTTTTCTACTCAGAAACACCTTTAGAAAGTTCACTGATGATTGAATCCTTGAAAAGGCTTTGTGTAAAAATCGCGATTCCGAGAGCTTCAAAACGAGAGTATCTCTAAACAAATCTTCAAAGCTTTCTTGATTCACTAATCAATGTATTTCTGATATGATTATATAAAAATTCGCGTTGATACCAAAAACGGCTCCACCGTCTGATATAGTTTGCAGACTCAATAGCTACCTTTGAATGTTCCGCTAGAATCCTATTCGTTAAACGATATCCGGAGATAAAAGTTTCAGAAATATGAACTCTTTTAAAGTCACACGAATATCTTTCCCTCTCTCTCCATTTAAATACATGCAGGATGCTTATGGGGGTGAAGATCAGCACAATGTCAATTAAAATTAAACTATCTCAAAATTTTGCGGAGAGCCACAAAACCAAATATGGTTTGCACTGCTAGCCCTTAAAACGTATACTTTACATTGGAAGATAATTCATTCGAGGAATCCTTTTTATGTTGTCTCAAAGGCCGTTAATAGCTACCAGAGTGAACTGAGATAAAATTGAATTTGGCTAGCCTTTTGTTGATAACTGAAGAATGTTGGATTGGATCATATAATACATTATTTCTTTAATTATGAAGATATCAGTATTGTTTATTTCGTCTATTGTTATGTCTTTAATTTGCGGCGAGTTTTCATCAGTGCTATTGAATGTTTTATTTAAGTGGTTATTGTATTTTTTGTATATGCTCCACTCGGCAAAACAAATTATTAACTGGGGCTTCTGCATGTAGTCATTTTATGGAGCAATTTTTAAATTATATTAAAATATTTCAAAAATGAAGTAGGATTGATAAGACGTACCTATAAAAGGCATGCATGGTGGAAAACGCGGATACCCGATGGCGGATACCGGTATCCGGTACCCGCGTTTTCCACCATGCCTACCTAAAACTATACTTAATTAAAATCAATCAAGTGTCAATGACAATGCCGTAACTCACAATAATAATGGATTCGAAATCTTCTCGTCATTTATGAGAAATGACGCATTTAAAACTTCACACGGTACTTATGAACCTTTTACACTGGAATCTTAAATTTTCCAGAATCTTAAATTTACATATTTTATACGCACATCGTTTAAGAAGTTGGCAAACAGTGTCTTCCATGTAAGAAATTGCTAAACATTGTCTGATAATTATATGCATGAATGATGTATGATCAAGTTAGATCAACTGATGTGAAGTTGACATGAAAATATTACGAAAACGCTTGAATTTGCCGGAGCGGGGCAATTAACGGACCCAAAAGTGCGAGGTACGTAACAATCGGGACTATGTATGGATTTTTATTGATCACATGCACTAGCAGTGTAGGATATCAGAGCCTGAAATAACGGCCGGCGGTCGGCGGTTTTCCGACCAAATTCCAGTTTTTCCGACCAAATGCAGAAATGATCGGAAGTTTCGTCCGGACAAATGTTAAAAAAAAAACGATAATCTGTTTTTTTTTTAATTATCGGGTCGGCGCTCAGCACAGTGAGTGCAGTATCTATAGTCTTAGATTATCCATACTAGTCTTATATAGAGTAATCAACTGGAAAGTTATCAAAGTTTCTTCGATCAAAGTATGCTTTAAACAAAGTTTAGTTAACTTAAATGTGTGACAGTGCATGAGTTACGAGTCAGAGTGACTGCTTTCATTGTTGTTAATTTGACGACCTGGAAGATAAAGAATGCGTTTCCTCGACGTTTCGAGCAAAGGCCCTTCATCAGGACAGTTAAATAGGCTGTTTATTACAAGTAGAGTGATTTACTGCATGCTTGACATAATTTACTCAACGGAGGCGATCAAACTAAACTAAAAAATTTCCGACCAAATTTGAAAATTTCCGGTCAAATTTCATTTTGCTTGGAAGTTTTGCCGGACAAATTTAAAAATTATTTCAGGCTCTGGGATATTAAAGATCGTTTAAGGATTGTAAATATTGTGTAATCAAACCAGTTTTAGCTGGATAGTGCTATCTA